TTTCCATGACTTTCAATTGTCGATAATGATGTTTAAATTCAATGAGAGGACGATCACAATGAAAATTGGTTCCGGTGAATTGTTTTGTTTCCGAAGCGGCCCGGACAAGGGCCGATCCGGTTTTCGGTGTTTAGTGGGACATCTGTCGGAGTTCGGTGCAAGTGGGGTTCAGTGCTCCGATGGTGCCCTCCACCCCCGAAACTTACTGCTCCGGCCCGTGAGGTGTTCGAACGGCCGTTCAACCCAATCCAAGTCTTATTGTTCTTGTCTTGACCAACTTATAATTCATTTCGCTGTCTTCCCAGTTTCTGCGTGGTCCGCTCTACGCGACTATTTCTGCTGGCGGGGTTTCTTCCGCCGCAGTGGGTCTTCACACCCGAGCTTATGACCAACAGGCAGCCATATAAATCCTTCGCAACTCAGGTGATTGCACACTCGTGGTTGCATCCGCCCAACAAGAGGCAAAGGGCTGAGCGGGCGAAGCACAGCAAGTCGACATCATCACTTCGCTTCGAAGATCGACCATGCTCTGATAGCGAACACGCGGAGTTAATTCTGGTCGCTGTTGCAAATATCCCAAGGCTGTGTCGTCCAGCCCAACACCAAGAACATGAACACAAGACAAACGTCGCACTAAAGTTTGGCACCCGCGCTAGCTTGTCAGGGTTGGATTCCTTCGAGGTCTACAAACGGAGCCTCGTAAAAGAGAAATAGGAAGGTGATTTCCGCGCGGCACGATTATTGGTGCTGAGGTGCATGAGCTTCCGCCCCCATGTAGCCTGCCCTAACTGAAGTTCCCTCAGCCTTCTTTCTTTTTTATCAGCTCTGGGCGGGGGCATTGCTTACACCGCGATGAAAGCTCAGTTTCTTGCAGACGCAAAAGAGCAGCCTGGCCACGGAATCCCTGCTCAATATATGCGGTCTAGGTTTTTGGTGTCTGCCTAGCATCCCTCTCCTCACGATGCCGGCCACGATGAGTGAGGCTGCGTGGATCAGCCGATTTTCGACCGCGTACCCGCCCCGGGGAACGCCAAGGAGCAATCCGTCCAGAGGATTTATCTGAGCTTGTTCGTCCGGTCTCTCGGAGGGATAACGTGAGATCTCAGTTCTGTGTGACAGATATCCAACATGGACAACAAGTCGGACCACATCTACGAGCTGAGTTACCGCTCGCCAACGACGCCGTCGTTGATGTCGCCGGACGCGGTATCCGTCAGCACCACCAACAGACCCCTCCTGTCCGAATACTCGTTCTACGAAGCCTCAGACGACAAATACTTCGACCGCAAGTCTCGACGGCCGTGGCATGTCCCCGTCGGAGACCCAGGCAACGATGCCCCGAAGCGAGTCATCCAGAGGACCGCGCCCCGGCTCTTGACTGCGTGGCTCCCCCACGCGCCAGCGATTGCCGTCACTTGCGTGCTCATATGGATGAGCCACTCGCAGATCTTCTGGTACCCCGAGACCGGCCCCGATCTGCCCATCATCGGCCGGTTCGGGAACAAGCACACGGTCATCTCCAACGTCCTCCAGTTCGCGTCCAAGCTGCACGAATTGATGGTCGTGGCTTCGCTCGCCGCCATCGCTCTGTCGATGTTCCGTCGCAGGCTTGTTGGCGACGGCGTCCGTCTCGGGTTCCTGACCGGCGGGTACCGCCTGGGCGACTTGGCGTACCTGACAAGCGGTGCGTTCTGGGGCCTCGGGCGTGTTGGCACGGCGGAGGTCATACTCGTCGCCTTTGTCGTGTTCGGCACAATCATGTCGACGATTATCGGCCCTGCGTCCGCCATTCTGTTCGTACCGAATCTCGGATGGTACAACGTCCCCGCAGCATTCGACAACGTCAAGATGCCTCTGATATACACGCTCGAGGCCGACAAAGCATGGCCCCAAGTTTTGGACAGCAGTCTTCACCACTTTGACGAGAAGCAGGATTGCCTCACGACCGAGAGCATCTTCCAGCCGTACTGCTACGCCGGCGGCTTCTCGGACATCTGGAACTGGCTGGGAGGCTTCCGTTACACCGATCTGGACAACAACCTCACGTTCTCGTCTGAGCTCGGCCGTCGGCTCGAGCTTCACGAAAACAGCTCCGTGGCGCTGTTCACCACGCCGCCAGCCTTCGTCATGAACTCCCTTGGGCTGTTTACCACCTATATCCACAAGTCCGATAGCATGGGGATTCTTCATGACACGCAACGCTACAAGCTCACGACGAAGACGCCGATGAAGCAGCCGTTCATGCAAGGCAGGTGCGCGGCGTACGACAAGGATGAGCTGTTGAAGAATGGCACGGAGGCCGTTTTCCCAATGAGCTCCATCAACTGCTACGGGGACGCAGACTGCCTCTCCCTGAAGCGGAACCCGCCCATTGTGCAGCGCGACTACTGGAACGTCACGGGACACTCGACGTCTGAGACGTTCAACCTGAGATACCCTGCTGCGCCGAGCGTCAAGTCCGTCGTCACGGTGGCGGGGACCATGCCGTATGCTTCAAAGGACATGGAGCAAAAGACGTGGGTGTACGCCTGCGCGTTCCTCGGGCGATGGGTCCCCTCGGAATTCAGCGTCGATCCCGAGTCGAACAACATCATGGACTCCAACGTCAGCTCCCCCGACGTCATGAACAAGCTGTTCCACGAGGACGAGTCCAACCGCGCGAGCGTCATGCAGATCGACAAGTCCTGGCTGGCGGGCACGAGCCCCCTGTTCAACATGACGACGAGCGTCTTCATGACGGACACGAACGAACACCAAAACACCCTCTTCGAGACGTCGCCCCTGCGCATGATGATGAGCCGCTTCCTCCTCCGCCACGAGCGCGCAGACGGCACCTACGTGCGCTACTTCGACACCATCGACGACAGCAAGAACCCGCAGGTCGGCAAGTCCGACACCGAGTCCTTCCTCGCCAAGCTCTACGGCGTCTTCCTCACGGACGCCATCGCGCGCATCTCCGCCAACAAGGAGACCCGCCTCGTCTTCAAGGAGGAGCCGGACAACCTGACGTGGGTCGACCTCGCGGTCCAAAACGGCCTGTGGTCCGGCGCGCACAGCTACGTCAGCGTGGACGACAACGCGACGTACCCGACGCGCGAGATCTACAACGGCAACTTCGCCGAGTCGGAGCTCGAGCAGACGGTGGAGCAGTACATCCAGCACTTCCGCGACGACTGGGTGCAGATCGACCTGGACGCCGAGCGGCACGGCTACGGGTCGGGCCAGTTCTCCAAGACGCTCGAGTTCGCGCTCGTGATGATGTACATCTACCTCGGCGTCGTGGGCGTCTACGGCGGCGTGGTGCTCGTCTCGCAGGCGCTCGACTGGGTAGGGTGTGCCGTGGGCGACCGCCGGCTCGACCTGCGCGGCGTGACGGCGTGGTCGGATCTGCAGGACCTGGTGCTCCTGGCGCTGCGGTCGGCGCCGCCGCCGGACGGGGACTTGACGCATGTGGGCGCCGGCGTGGGGTCGAATAGCGTGTGGAAGAAGGTGGTCAAGGTCAGGGTCGAGGAGAGCGCGCTGCAGCTGGTGTTGCATGACCACGAGGGTCTGTTGCCGCCGCAGAAGGGGGAGAAGTACTCGTGAGGAGGGGATGTGGTTGATGATGATTTTTGAGGGCCGAGTGTGTGAAACATATACAATACCCAAGTTTTTTGCTCTATAGTTACTTTCATTTCATACACAATCTACATTCAAGTATATGAATACAATACAAGCCTTGAAAGTTTATTACCCATGAGCCTACAAAACCAAGCAGGGCGGAATAATCAAGTCGTCACTAAGCCACATACTCTTTCTTGTAAGCACATAGGACCCAAGCCATGAAGACAAAAATCCAGAGTCTGCGTGGTCAAACCCTCACCCGGGCAACCCATGTCCAATGTCGTTCCACAAGCAGCTACTACAGGTCACCGTGACCCGTTGCATATCCGGCATCAACCCACGCGCATTAGTACACAGCCGACCTAAACAGGAAACCAGCGTAATCAGGGTCACTTTCGTAAGAAGTATCCTGAGGAAGCTGTGTTACCGATGCTATGGGTCAGAGATCCACCACGATGCGGGGAAAACACGAGACCAGGTTAGCTTAAGCGCCGCGCTGTGCCGGGTGTCGACCGGGATCCACCACGGGGCCGAGACCCCCATCCCGAAAATAGAGCCGGGATTTTACTCGAGATGGCAAAATCTTCCGGTGTCTTGCTCTTGTCCGACAGAACGATGATGCGTACGTTTACGAAACATTGCTGGCGTCTTTTTATCTTTGGCTTGCCAAGTCCACAGCAACTCCTTTGTACGCCCTCGTCACCATCAACCCCGTCAGGCCAGTTCGGCGAATTCGCCGAGATCACCGGTTGGACGCCCGGGAATACTTCCTTTAGTCCAGTCACCATCCCCTCGAGAGTTGACTCAAGAGCATTCGACCCTTACATCTCCGGTTTGTTCTAGCCAGTGGGATAACACCAAACATAGCACACCCCACCCTTCCCCATCGCCCTGATCCACCGGCCACGCTGATCGAGACCCCAAATACGCCTTTTTTGGTGTCACCAACCCCGCCGTGGCAGCGGATTTGCGCTGCAAAGAGCCCGAAAACAAGTTTTCGGGGCATTTTCCCACGCGTGGGCCAAGACATTTCATCAAATGTGCCCGGCATCGAAGAAGAATGGGAGTCGCCTACGCTAGCCCGCACGAAGACGATGTCACGACAGATCATGCCGGCTTGGTATCGTGCGTCCCGGAGATCGTTGGCCGCAGATGTGACCGGGTGATGCAAAGTCCCTGCAGGTGTGATTGGAGAGATGGGAAACCGGGGCGTTCTTGCCCGGTTGAAGTTTGTTCGATATGACAGACTTGACCGGTGTGCCAACAACACTAGGGGGCGACGGAAAAGAAGAGGGGCAGGTTCATTACGGTGTTGTATAGATAGATTACAATTGTCAGGAAATCCCGGAGAGTCTTTCCGGGTATATTGAAAGTTCTCTCCATCACATACAGATACCATGGACAAGTCGATGCCCATCGTCATCATCGGCGCCGGCGCGTTCGGGCTTTCCACCGCGTTGCACCTCCTCAACGCCCACTATTCCAACATTCTGGTCGTCGACAGGGCCGAAGACGTCCCGTCGCGGTTCTCCGCTGCGTCCGACATCAACAAGATTGTGCGCGCAGACTACGAGGACGTCTTCTACACCAAGCTGGCTCTCGTGAGAAGTCCTCTTTCCCATCGCAAGACCGCCCAAGAAGCTCACAGCTCTGCAGGAAGCATTTGAAGGATGGAAGACGCCCTTGTTTGGCCCTTACTACCATCAGACCGGCTACATCGTCGCCACCTCCGGCAGCGCACCCCCAAAAGCTGTCGATGTCCTTGAGAAGTCCTTGTCCTCGGTGCAGTCCAGGCCCGAGTTCGACAACGAGATAGACCTATTACACAGCGCGGACGACTTCAGAAAGTTCGCATGGCAGTTCTCTGGGCCCATGAACGGCTTCAAGGGATACCACAACAGGCTTGCCGGGTACGGCCATTCAGGCAACACCCTAAAGGCCGTTCACCGCCATTGCGCAGCTAGAGGGGTCCGGTTTCTCCTTGGAGATGCCGGAAACGTCACCGACCTGCTCTACGATGCTTCCGGGAGATGCACCGGAGTGCGAACCGCCGACGGCGCGGCACACGCGGCGGCGAAGACGGTCTGCGCACTCGGCGCCTACGGCGCTTCGCTGATCCCGGGGCTCGCCAAGTTCACCGTCGCCCGTTGCTGGTCCGTGGCGCATGTGCAGCTGACCGAGGACGAGGCCGACTTCCTCCGCGGGATCCCCGTGACGAACGTCCGCGACCTGGGCTTCTTCTTCGAGCCCGACCCGGCGACGCGACTGCTCAAGCTCTGCCCGCTCGGCGCCGGTTTCACAAACACCGTCGACGGCAGGTCGACGCCGACCAACTTCCCGTCCGCGAGATCCCAGGACTTTATCCCGCCCGAAGACGAACACAAGTTGCGGACTCTGCTGCGGGAAACCCTGCCGTGGCTGGCTGATCGGCCCTTTGTCGACCGCAAGTTCTGCTGGTTCTCAGACACGCAGAACTCAGAGTACTGCATCGACTTCGCGCCCGGGACCTCGCGGTCTCTGGTCGTCCTCTCGGGGGACTCTGGGCACGGGTTCAAGATGATGCCGGTGTTTGGAAAATGGGTTAGGCAACTTCTGGAGACCGGCCGACAAGAGCTGCCGCGTTGGAAGTGGCGGACGCCGAGTGGCGAGAGCGATGACTGGGGCAACTCAGTGAGTTGGCGAGTCGGCACCGTGAGGGAGATGAAGGACCTGATTGCCGAGAACGAGGCCGCTTCGAAGGCTCGACTATGATGTTTCACTCGTGTGTATATTGCTTTTCCCTTGTTCAAAGCCATGATATCACGACAGAGACAGCTTCCATCCGAACTTGCCAATGATATTCTGCCAGTCATGTTGCACAGTTGCGGCCAAACCGTCGTTGAGGTCCCGGAAGTTGTAGATCGTCGCCATGACTTCAGTGACGGTCGATATGTTGCTGATGGGCCACTTATCGTCGAGAAGATTCAGCATGTCGAGCACAGCTTTGCGATGCTCGTCAATGCAGCTGGCGCATCCCGCGATGAACAGCGGCCACATCGGGAATGACCGCCGCGGCAGATCTTCGCGGATGACCTCTGCGAGACAATCTATCAACGGCTGCAGCAAGGTCGACATTGACGGAAACCGGATCGGGGCGTGGTACACCTTGAGGTGCAAGTATATCAGCGTGGCGAGTCTGAAACATTCCGCGCTTTTCAAGAGATAATCCTCCGTTGCGTGGAACTCCAACTCCCGAATGCGTTTCTCCAAAGAAGGGCCATCTTCAGATGTTGCTGTTGACTGCTGCTCGTTGGTCGCCGTCAAACTGATGAGGTCGATCAGCTCAACCAACTCAGTCGAGCAGCCAGTCTGGGGGTGGACAGTCTGTCGGCTCTCCGGCCTCAGAGAGATTCTGTTGAGAGCCTCGATTGCATCGCCGCACTGATCTGACTTGGAGCAATTTGTTTTTGCATCATTCCGGCCAGGCTCTCTGTTTTCCGTCGTCTTCATCAAGATGTATCGGAATCGGAAGTATTGCAGAGCTAAAGCTGCACAATTGGCGCTGACACAACCAGGATGGTTTTCCATGATCGCCAATGCACCGCGGAGATGGAGCAGCCAGTCCGGCCCAGAACCTGCCGAGATCTCCAACGAGGCCTGAAGCACACACGTCAAGACATTCTCCTCGGCATTTGTCTCCGCCATGATGCTGGACCTGAGCTGGCTCAGAGCCCTCCCCTTGTATCGGATGGCGCTGTTGCCATAATCGACTCCGTCGTGAGCGCCTCTGCGATCCCATTCGGCAGCGCTTAGAGCAAGGACCGTCGATAGAAGCGGGCCGTCATTGCTGAGAAGGATAGGCATGACAGACGACTTGAAGATGTTGCTTTCGGTGTCCACGTAGACTTTGCTGTTGCTGATGACTTCAAAGTCTGCTAGTGGATTAGAACGCATCCAATGACAAACGAAGGCAATTGACGATGTGACTTGCAATACTGTACCAGTTTCGACTCCGTGTTCGACATGGGTCGCCATGACGGATTGGGTTTGAGAGGCAAATCATTCAGCGACGGAGCCGACTGCTGCTGGCATTGCCGACCTGCGGTTATTCGCCGCACCGGATTCTCGATGTACTGCTGGCAAATGAAAGCAAGCTCATCTCGCGCGATATTTACGAAAGAATTATTGGCGGCCGTCTTGAGAGGAAGGATGGGGTGTTGTCCTCGCCATGGCCCGCTCCAAGGTTCTGTGAACTTCAACTCTGAGGTCGGGTCCAGGCTTGGATAGACGCAGGCAACACCGTCTTTTTTACACTTGCCGCACTCGGGTTTGTACTTGTCGCATCTTTTCTTTCTTTGCCGGCAGTGATAGCACCCATCCCGGGTCCGGGATCCGTTACTTGCCATGGCTGCGATGTGGAGTTGCGAGTGTGGATTCCGTCGCGCGTACGCTGGCTGTCTTGTGTGGGCTTGGGTTCGTGAATTCGGGGTGTGTTGAGAACCACGAAATGCGGCGATCTCCCAACTCGTTGGACCAAGATATGGGGGTCTGTTGGAAGTCGGGCCATGTTGGTGGCAACTTGGACCAACTCGAGAAAAGAAACGACTCCTCTCTCCGGCAGCTTGCAGGAGAAGCCCCGGTCTGTTACTGGCTGGCCAAGATAAGAATGCAGGAAGCCTCCGCGAGGGAACAAACGCGGGGGAACTAACCGGTCTGATCGGTTATGTAAGCCGATCCCTCTCAATAATTGGAAGAGAGACAAGGATCTCTATTCTCATTCTTCAATTTCGCTTGGTGGCTTTGTTGCCTCCATCGTCCACTGACCATTGAGTGTGCACCGTGGTCGTTGTCAAGGTCAAAATGGACTATGCTTTTGTTTGGAAGCTAAGGAGCTGTTAAACTCGCAGAATGCGGTGAAAGCAGCATACAGGACCCGCTGTGGCCGGGTATCCTGGGCCAGTTGGGTCGTATTCCCCAACTGACGAAGTTTGCGAAAGCGAGGAGACACCCTCATCTAGTATTGAGGGGTTCGCCTCTCGAACTTAACAAACAACACCACTGCCATCATTCTTGATGTTCGGAGTTATCAGACTCATACCTCGAGATGGCTGAGACGAATATTCAAGCAGAAGTGCCTCCTGAGGCCGACGTGACTGTGCGTACTGGGTGACATTCGCGACATCGGAGTTGCGGAGTTCTGACTCGGATATGGCGGAGAGAAGCTGATCTTCGGAATAGGGTGACACGGATTCATCCCTCGGACAGGTATGTGTTCATGAACGCCGCCATGGTCAACGGTGAGCTTTGTAGAGGTTAACTCACACATTCTCTTTCCAGGATGACTTCTCTGCGACCACAAGTCTCCGTAGTTCAATCATAGACTATCGAGTCGAAAATGGGAGAACTTACCACAGGTACAAAGAAGGCAGTAAGTCGATGTTCAACTCTCTTTTTCAAGAGGAATATGAGCCTTGGAAGTGAAATACTGACATGCGTTGACAGAATACTTTGGACCCAACGATGAGGACGAGTCGAATAGACTGGACCTCCAACACCACCTGTTCCTTCTTACATTCGATAACAGGTTGGGATATGCTCCCCCAAATGACCCTGACTGGAAGGGTCGCGTGCTTGATGTCGGAACCGGCACCGGGATCTGGGCGATCGACTTTGGGGATGAGCACCCAGACGCCGAGGTCTTAGGATTCGACCTTTCGGCAACCCAGCCCGAGTTGTGAGCTTCATTTCACATGTACGTATTAGAACTTATACGAAGTTGACTCAGTGAATAGTGTACCGCCCAACGTCTATTTTGAGGTGGATGACTTGGATAATGAATGGATTTATTCCAGACCATTCGACTACATCCACATCAGAGGAATGTCAGGTAGCGTTCGAAACTGGCCTGAACTTCTAAAGAAGTGTTTTGAGTGAGCACTACTCTGGACCTCCAAGTCTGGGCTTTCTTCTCATCCGTGCTTAGGAATCTGAGGCCAGGAGGTTACATCGAGCTCCAAGAGGCAGAATCCAATATTTTCAGCGCCGACGGCACATGCGAGCGCGGTGCATTCTATAAAAGTCTCTCCTACGTTGCATCCGCTCTTGAAGTCTTTGGCTGTCCGTTCATTCCGCTGGATACTCTGACATCGTTATTGCCAGAGGCTGGCTTCGTGGAAGTGTCCGACCGCCGCTTCATCTGGCCCCTCAATACGTGGCCCCGGGATCCTTACTTGAAAGAACTCGGCTCGTGGTCTCGCGAGAACCTCGCAAGTAACACGGCTGGCATGATAATGGCGCCCATGACGCGCGTGCATGGTTGGCGGCAGGAAGAGGTTCAGGTTTTTGCCGCTGAGGTCAGGAGGGACCTTAGTGATCGAGGAAATCATGGATATTGGCCGATGTAAGTGCTGCATCCCACGATATCAAACATTTGTTATATCAAGATACTAAAACATCAAAAGTCGGGCCATATGGGCCAAGAAACCGTCGGAATAGAAATGGAGTCCTATGCATCCTCCGTATTAATTCAAAGTGGTCTGCCCTGCGCTTCTCTTTAACGATTCAGTGTAGTCGGTGCGACTACGAGGCACGTTGAGTTATTCGCCGAAATTCGGATATCTCAGAGTGCCGGGACTGTGGTGATAGGTCGATCAGCGAACAGGATCGCCCGACAGTGCCATGCCTTGCCCGGGTCGAGGCCGAGCATGCGGTAAATATGGGGCATTATCACGGGGACCCACTCATATCCGGCACCGCTTACCGGAGGAGAGCATTGCCCGACGTCTCGAAACCACTTTCTGTGGCAAGTGGACAGGTGTGGCTAAGCTCAAATGTCGAGGAGGCTGCAGTTATTCTGATTACATTGAATTCACTTTGCTCATCAGCTGAGCTGGAAAGATCAAGTGGCATGTGGTAAAAGACCTTTGAGCTATCATTGACCCAATTTAATGAGACACCATTCCTTTTTGTGTTTCTACTTGCCAACTTGTTTAGTTCGCAATCTGTTGGGGAATATTATTTATGAAAACCACGCTCGGGCCTCCATTCTACCGAATCACACATTGATGTTGAACATTCCCGAGGCTTGAAGTATCCCCGGAGTTGTAGCACAGCTAGGTTCACTCCATATGTCGGATGGTGAACTCACATTGTCCGATCCCGCACCCCGCTTTACAACCTTGAAAAGTAGACGACCCACCTCCCGTTCTTTCCTTCGCATTTACTCAAACTCTTACTCTCACCTTACTCGGCATCACAATGGAGGACTTCTCAGATATTGCTGCATCGTTGGGCATGGACCCTGGTTCATTGCCCAAAGCCGAACTCATCAAACCCGCAGAGGTACGCGCACTGGCGGCGCCGATGGCGGAAGAAGTGTTGCAGCAATGGGACCTCCTCCGGAAGATCGTGGAGAGACACGAGGCAACCATCCAGAACCGGTGGATAAAGAAGTCCAAGTCCAAACGCCGAGGTGTCCTCCTGGCTGCTTGGCCTGGCATGTCCGAGTACCACAGGCCGGACTTTGCTGCTTTTAGGAAGAAAAGGTCTGGCGAGCAAGCTCGTGAAGCCTGTCTGTGGCCGCATATCAACTTGGAAGACCTCAGCAAAACGGAACCTCTTCTTCTACTGATCAATTCTCGCGGCCGAAACACGCCTGATGTATTCGCCATGAACGACGTGGAAGAGTCTCGCTTCGGGCAGGTCAGCAGAACCATGGACATGCCCCGTTTTCTCAACTTGTACTCAATGCTGTTCCTCGGAAGATGCACCCCTCAAACATATGGTACCCTTGTTTCATGGGACGATGAGCCTGATGCTAGCACCTGGAACTTTAGACGTACAGCGGTCCACCCGGGAGAAGGTCTCTGGATCCTGGAATTCCAATCACGCCTTTACCGATTTCTCGTGGACGTCTGCAAGAGCATTCTTCACGACATCTCCCCCGAAGAGCTCATAGACCCAGCAATGGCCATCCCGCCTGAACCACCTTTGGTTACTGGCAATTCCAACGACTCCATCGCTGCATCACTAGCAGTCACTCGGCTTGAAGGTCCTTACCGAGTTCCTGCCCGTCTCGATATTGCTGGCCTCCACAGTATCATCAAGTCGAAGCTAGCGGAGGCCGAAGACCATATCTGGGCTTTGCGAGAAGACCCCGATTATTTCAGCGTGACCGTCAGAGATTGGAAGGAGCACCGACAAGAGATGATGCAGGACACCGACGGCAGGCCACACCCCATCCACGCGCACGCTCCGGACGTCTTCTGGCAGCGGCTGATTGGAAACATGATATCCAGCGCCATGTTTCCCGTGGAAGTGTACAGATCCTTGGCGGAGAAGATTGAACATCTCATCGATCTGAAAGACCGGAAATACCGCCACAGAAATTTCAAGCCCGACGAGAGTCTGCCTCACGACTACGCGATGGCATTCTGCAAGTTGAAACACTTTCTACAAATGTTTCGACCCGGCCCGATTTCCAACTTGAAGATGGGATGGCCTGCATCGCCACCAATGCGTCCTTGGTTCCGTCGTGTGCCACCACCAGACCCAACGACTACAGTCATTCAGGTCACATCAGTCGGCGATCGCAGCAAAGACGCAACAGTCGCGGAGCTCTTTTGGATTATCGACACTCTCTTTGACGAGAAGCAGTTGTTCCTGACTGGTCTACCCACACTGTTGGACGAGCTGGAACGAGTAACGAGGAAGGACAGGGCTGCTTCGCAGATGATTTCTGGATGGGTCGCAGCGCAAATTGCGGATCTCTCGGTGTTATCAGAGTGCGAAAGACAACTGGATCTGTTCCAACCATGGGCAGCATCATTCGAAAGTGACATTGCCGAGAACCAAACAGAAATCGACAGGGACTTCCATGAGTTGGTGCGTCGCCTGGTCCCTATCAACGACCTGAAGATCAGCCTGGCGACGGCAAGAATGGGCATTCCAGACGGGGATAAGTTCAAGTATCCCGTGGAGAGGAAGAGAAACAAGCAGAACATCGACCAGATGCGTGCGGCGGAACGTGCCCTCGATACCTTCTGGGCCGATATCCAGCAGAGCTTGTGTGGAAGAGACGGTATCTCATCTCGGCTGCGCAACATTCTCCAACGAAGCGTCCAGAGGACCCAAGAATGGGTTGAGACGGCCAAGGCGAAGGCGCCTGCCGCACCGGGCCAAGACCCAAGTCTAGCTGCGCCGTTTGGCGGTTTGTCGATGCAAGACACGCCGAAGGAAAAGCCCTCACCTCAACCAAAGACCAAACTGAAGACGAAGGGAGCAGTTCCGGTTGCCGCAACGACCACTGTCCGAGATCAGGAGCAACCACAGGCTGCGAAGAGACCTCTATTCAAGGTGGACAAACGGGCTCTCAAAGTTTTCAACACACTATTTTTCAACCCGTTGACGTCTTCTTCCCCTGGAGAGATTCCCTGGACGGAGTTCCTCCATGCCATGCAGAGTGTTGGGTTCCACATGGAGAAGCTGTATGGATCGGCGTGGAAGTTTACGCCAACAAAGCTCGATGTTGAGACCAGCATCCAATTTCATGAGCCTCACCCGAGTTCGAAGCTGCCGTTTGTTTTTGCCAGGCGCATTGGCAGACGTCTTAACAGGGAGTACGGATGGGAGGGGGACATGTTTGTCTCTTTATAGTGATCTACTTATGTGTGAGCTTAGTGCAGGTTGCCATGTCTGCAGCTCGAACGCCGTTGCTGTGCATTTGGAAGAGTATGGAGAGCTCATGAAAAAGACCACATTGACGAATTTGGGGTGCCTTTGACTTTTTTTGTACTCCGGGATGAATTGCAAGGCAACACGTCTTTGAGGCGGGTGCCTACACCCGCACTTGATGTGGACAGTGAGCCCGTTTGTATTTGCCGTTCAATTCCTTCCCATTCGATCGGTTCCCTCCCGCCATACGCTTTCTGACCGTTTACTACCCCTTCTTCACCTGCTTCTCTTCTTCTCTTCTCAACCGCTAAGAACCCCCTCAACTCGCCAAACATTCTTCCTCGCAACACAACCGCGTCCAAACATTCCGACTCGCGAAGTATCTCTAGATGTCGCCCGCGATGCCCACCGAGAGAGACAGCACCCAAAAGCCATCTGCCGGTGCCGGCAAGCCCGACTGGACCGCCGTGCAGAGTAAGGTCATGGATATCGAGATCGTCAATGACCTTCCTGCTTCTGAGCCTGCCGAAAATCCATCTCCTCAGCAAGACGATCGCCCAGCTCCTCGCCGAGTCAACCAATCGACTTCCCAAGACGTTGTAGCTACGCGTCAAGCTCCGCGTCCTCACCCAACTGGATCGACCCGTGCTGGCATTGCCACCTACCATGAGGACGCCATCCACGCCAACCGTCTTTACGGAATCCAGGGCAACATGTTCGACTTCAACAACGAGGTAATCCAACCTCTCATCAATCTCTTTGCACCAAGGCAGAAATGCATGCTGCGACACAACGATGCATGGACGGTACTCGAGTTCATAGGACCCCCGGATGCTGTCACATATGCCCAAGGGCGTGCGTTAAGCCGTGCTACAAATGGCACCAACAAGGATGATACAACTGCTATCCATGGCTTGCGAATTTACTGCTTCCAAGAATCGACTAGTTCCGGCCGGCCGCAAAGTATTCATCCGGTCATGGTCTCCCTCTTTCGCATTTATAGCCAGGATCCCAACGCCGAGAACGACTTCTTGCGAGATCCCATCGATAACCACGAGTGGAAGGATTACGTCTTTTATGACAGAAGGTTCTGAGAGATTTTGAACTTCCAGAGCCCTAAACTTACCAGGTAAGATCCGTCTCTTATTTACACACGTCTGTGGGATATTTTCAAATGCTAATAGCTTCCTGGGATCATCTAGACAACGCAGAAGAGTCTGTTCAGGTCCGCGGCAATCTATATGATCATAGCATGATGGTTTTCTTGGTAATTGGCAAGGCTGGAAGATTTACGGATGATTGCAGGCTGAGGCAGTGCCTCACATGACTTGTGGTGAATTTCGATTCCACCCTCTTTGTACCCTCTGAGACAGGTTGTTCGGTCTAGCCATCCAAGAGAATTTGTGCATATGCACCAAAACTATTTCGACACCGCACATTGAGAAATGAATATGATGGCCCAAACGTGATACTGCCGCTTGAGACTTGTCCATTGGAATGTGGCGTCCGACATATGGCCCGATCCTACATTGATCGATGTGAAGTCGGCTTGCTTAGGCACTTCGTAACGCCATTCCCTATGAAGCCAGCAGGGTCAATGACAAGTGTGTGAATACAAGCTGTAACATCTCCTTGAACAGAAAAATCAACGCAACTTTTGTCGTTCGCCCCCGGCTGACAGAATGGGGCCGTGATCGACCGGCCCGGAAAGCCCCTCTCGGCTCGTTGGCTCGGGCCGTCCGCCAACCCCGCACTCCCGGTGGTGTAGACCGAGGCAAGCCAACAGGGCGTTGGGGAAGCGCCGTCACCCAAAAAGCACCTATTACCCCAAACTCCCAGCCTCTCCTCATACAGTCTCATTAGAGCTGCCCCCTTCATCTCAGTCACCCATCTCACAGCACAAAGGCAGCTGAACCCTCCAGCTTGGTGCTCATAATCTGTCACATTTCTCATTCGGTAACTCCAGCCAAGTGCTGATCTACGTCATGGCCACCGATGCGTTACCGCGTAAGCTCTGGGAGCATCCCGACCCCAAGGGTACGGAGATGTACCAATTCTTGGAATCCGTCAATATCCATTTCGGACTCAAGCTCAAGGTCCTTGCCTCTGATTCCTTGCATCGTGATACCTTCGACTTACACGGTAACAGACGTTCGATGACCTCCACAACTGGACGGTCGCGCACCGCTCCAAATTCTACGGCCATCTCTTCAACTACGCCAACCTCATCTACGAAGGCCGACCAAGTTCGGTCGTCGATGAGTCCCTGCCTATAGACGCCATTCCCAAGTGGTTCCCTGGCGTTCGTCTCAATTGGGCCGAGAACATTCTCTACTCTCGCGGCCCTACAGACGCGCCCGACCACCACGGTGTTGTGGGCAAGGAAGATGAGAAGCACGCCGTGACCGAGGTCCGGGAGGGCAACACAGGCGACGTCCGAAATCTCAGCTGGGGCGACTTTCGCAGGGATGCAGGGCGTCTGGCTGCTGCCATGAAGGCGCGGGGAGTCAATGAGGGTGACCGTATCGTTCTTGTCGGAGCTAACTCCATCGAAACGCTGTTGGTTTTCACGGCTGCTACTTGGCTAGGTGCCATCTTTAGCAGTTCATCGACGGATATGGGTGTCAAGGGCATCCTACAGCGGACCACGCAGGTTGACCCCAAGGTGAGGATTACGGTCCCTACTACCTGTTTCTGTGCTGACTTTCGTGTGGTTCATCTTCTTTGACGATGCCACGGTTTACAACGGCAAAACCGTCGATCTCCGGGAAAAGATAGCTGAGACGGTCTCCGGGATGAAATCATGCCCGTCATTCGCCGGTCTCGTTTCCATCCCTCGTTTCTCCAAACCTTACGACGTCTCATCTATTCCCAAGACGGAGCTATGGGACGACTTCTTCAAGTCCGCAAGCTCTTCTCAGCCCCCGGAATTCGTTCGGATCCCCTTCCACGCCCCCTTTCTCATTTACTACTCCTCGGGTACCACAGGTATCCCAAAGGCGATCGTGCACACCGTCGGTGGCGTTATCCTTAACATTGTCAAGGAAGGTCGCTTACACGAGTCCATGTCGTCGGAATCGGTGTGCCTGCAGTACACCACGACCGGCTGGATCATGTACCTGGCAAACGTCGCAGCTCTTCTCAACGGTGCCCGTGTTGTAATGTACGACGGCTCGCCATTCGTGCCGGATCTCACATCATTCATTCGCATTCTCGGGGAGCAGCGTGTCACAAAGCTTGGTATCAGCCCTAGGTGGATGTTTGAAGTTGCGAAGAACAAGATCAGCCCACGGGAGGTCACTGACCTGAGCGCGCTGCGTATCGTGACGAGCACAGGCATGGTCCTCTCCAATCAACTATTCGAATGGTTCTACGACGCCGGCTTTCCGAAGCATGTCCACCTGGCCAACATCTCAGGTGGTACCGACATTGTAAGCCACATTCGGAGCACCCATATTCTCCCATATTAACTGACAATAGGCCGGTTGCTTTGGCATGGAGAACCCCTTGACGCCTGTCTACGTCGGCGGCACCCAGGGCCCCTCGCTCGGCGTCCCCATCGAAATCTTCGACGCACAGCTCCCCAACGGTCCCGGCAAACCCGTCCCACACGGGGAGCCGGGCGAACTCGTTGCTACCGCCGCATTCCCCAACATCCCCTGCTTCCTCTGGGGCGATTCGACCTCTCCCTCCTCGTCCGCATCTAGCTTCTGTTCCGCGCCACCGGGGACGAAATACCACTCCGCCTACTTTGCTCGATTCGACCACGTCTGGGCCCACGGAGACTTCTGCCAGGTGCACCCGAAGACGGGCAACATTGCATTCCTCGGCCGCGCAGATGGCGTGCTGAACCCCAGCGGAATTCGGTTCGGGAGCGCCGAGATTTATGCCGTCATTGAGCGCAACTTCTCGAACAAGGTGGTGGACAGTCTATGCGTCGGACAGAGGAGGCCGAGTGATGATGATGAGAGTGTTATGCTGTTCTTGATGATGCGCCCGGGAGAGAAGTTTGATAAGAAGCTGGTGGGCGAGGTCAAGGATGCTATCAGGAGGGAGCTGACCAAGAGGCATGTGCCGAAATACGTCTTTGAGACGCCTGAGATTCCGGTAAGTTCTGAATGCTTATTTCGAGTGCAATAGGATGGAAACTGACCATTTTTCAGACAACAGTGAACCTGAAAAAGGTCGAACTGCCCGTGAAGCAGATCGTGTCTGGCTCACACGTCAAGCCCAGCGGCACCCTATTGAACCCCCAGAGTCTAGACTTTTACTATCAGTTCGCAAAGGTGGAGGAGGTGCTCGTAGGAAAGGAGAAGTTGTAAGATTTTGTGTTAAACAGAAGGAAAGATGGGTATTATTCTTCTAGACTAGAAAGACCTACTACAGACGTAGACCTCTCCATAAACTTTTAACCTCCCCCTTTTTCATAACCACGACACCCCCTCATACCCTCCCGAACTCAACCTTCTCAGCCGGAACATACTCCGGAAACTTGCCAGCGTGCATTCCGTACCTCCAGACCATGTATCCAACCGTCCCCGCGACGCTTCCTAGCCCGGCCGCACCAGCAGCCGCTCTCAGCCCGCCGACTCCCTTGGCTCCCGCCAGCCGCCACGCCCCAAGCGCGACAACCCCCGCCGCGGCACCTCCATACGTCCAGTCATCCGTCTCCAACTGCCCCGGGTTCTCGAGCAATCTCCACGCGCGGTCGCGCCACTCAATGTCTTCGCGCCCTTGCATCCTCCCTGCGAGGGCCAGGCCCATAAGCCCCAGGCCGACGGCGGAGGCTGTGCCTGTCTTGCGGAGGAGACGCGGCAGACCTTTTTGCAGTGTAGTAGACGCTGCTGCTGCTGCTGATGGCGATGTTGTGGTAGCGGCTGGCTTGGCGGCGCCGCGGAGGCGGGAGTACAGGCTCCCGGCGGACACGGCGCCGAGACCCACTATCGCGCCGGTGGTGTAGCCCCGGGTGAGGACATGGACGCCTAGGATCGTGTGGGAGAGGGGCTGCTCTTCTGCGTAAGCCGTGTGCGGGAAGTAGCGGGACATGATTCCTTCGTAAACGGTTCTTCTGTGTAATGGGATGTGGGAGCAAAGCGAAGCTCTAGAAAATGGGACTTTGGTACAATTGTTGGGAGCTTGCTACGATGTCGATTAGAGACTATAACGTTCAAGACCCAGCATTGAATCTCCGAATGGCTTGGCGGGCCGCCTCTTTATATGTTGTCCCTATCATGCCACCGACAGACTTCTCCGTAATCAGTTGGTGCCATTCAGCTCACTGGGTGCAGTCGGCGGTCGAGACACCAATTCCCCCGAACATGTCAGCCCGGCTTGTTTGTCCGCGTCCTAACCCCAGAGAATCTGCGCTAGCGACTCCGAATGCGAACAGCGGGCGTTCGACGGACAAGTCGGAGCAATTGTATTAATCAGTTAAGCGACGGAGAATGCACTATCATTCGCGTGGGCCAACAGTCGTATCACCTAGCTCCCACCTGTCACTTGCATCGCGATCCTTGAGTTAAGTTTGTCATTAAGCGTTATTTGTACTGCACACTTTGGGCTCATTTGATGATACGCCATGTATGCCCTAATCCTGCAGCAGACGCCGTGTGGTTTCGCGCCATCCAAAAAACATTATGGTGGCTTGGGGATGCTTAGTCGTCATCAGTCATCTCCATCATGCTCTCGCCCTTTTCGTCGTCGTCGTCCATCAGCATCGCCCTCGCTCTGCTGACCTTTGCTTTTCCTTTCGCGTCGCGTCTTCTGCCCGCTCGCTGTGCTAGGCGATCTCGACCTGCAACCTTTGCTATATCCAGTTCGTTTTCGAAAGCTTCTAGGTCGTCGCCATCTGCCACGTCGATGATTGATGTTTCTTCTAGAGCCTTGCTAAGGAGCTCCGTAGCGATGCCGTCTTGCGGGTTGATGGCGAGCGCCTCGTGTAATGGAATGACCGCCTTTTCAGGACGGCCTTCTTCGAGGTAGATGAGGCCCTTCGCGCAGAAAATGGCTGGGTCCTTGCCTCCCTGGCGTAGAACCTCGTCGAATTCGACGTGGGCCTCCTTCCAAAGGCGCAAACGGCGATATGCATGTGCTAAGTTTGTTCTCGGCGACAGCCATGCTTGAGGGTCCGAATCAATTTCTGCTGCGATCTTGAGGGCTGCTCTGAAAAATTGGACAGCCTCCTGTGGCTTATCCTGGTGGTATTTGACGATGCCCATCTCGTTGAGCAAGAGTGGATCCGTCTTGCATAATCCATATGCCGTCTTTAGGAACTCTTCTGCTAGTGTCATGTTGTTGAGAGCGTGGTTCTGCATGCCGAGGAAGACTTGTGGGAGATGAGTACCCATGAACAACCTCGCAGCTGTTGAATATGCCGAGATGGCCTGATCATGCTCTCCCTCAGCCGCAAAGGTGTGAGCAAAACCAATCCATGCCGGTCCAAAATGTGCGTCCATCATGCTAGCTTTGCTGAAGTATCGCCTGGCTTCGGCGATTTTGTCAATAGAAAAATAGTATATGCCCACAGCCAGCCAGGAACAAGGCTCTTCTGGGTGGGTATCTGCGAGGTCGTGGGAAATCAGGAACAATGCATTCTTCATCTTGAGTTGGTATAAGCAAGCCAAGTGTAGTGGGTGGATGCTGAAGTTGTACTTGTCATCCTGCAGGATGGAGTCGGTGATGGCGAGAGCGTCGCGGTAGCGACATTGTGTGAAGAGCAGGTCGGCTTTGGCGAGCAGTAGATCGGGGTTATCAGCAAGGTGGTAGTGTGTCGACAGCGTGTCGCATGCCGCGGTGAACGCTGAAGGCTCTCTGTATTTGGACAGCCGTGTTGTGTAGAGCATCTTGGTGAACTCTGCGGCTTCCTGTGACGAAGATACATCTCCAGAGACGCTGATGGAATCGAAGTCGAGTGACTCGAGGAACTGCCACTCCTCGTCAGGAGACAGTAGAGAGTTGTTCATGAGCTGCTGGAAGGCCTCGAAGCACTGAACGTCTATCTTGACCGCGTCCTTGTAGCACTCCTTTGCCCGGTCGAAGGCGTTTTGCTTGGCGTAACAGATGCCTCGGAGGTAGCACATGGCGGCTTCATATTTCCGGTTTGTGGCCTCTTCCTCTGCCTCTTCGCGAAGCTGTCTGTCTCTGGAGCTGCCCTTCGCATGAGCCCCTATCGCCCTGCCCAAGGGGGCCGTGTTCTGTGCCTTTCGCTTGTTACTCGCATTTGAGATGAGATGGGTTGGGTTTCGGTCGCCGAGTACAGACAATGCCTCCTCAAACCTCGATTGCTTGACTAGGCAGTGTGCAGCCAGGTATCGACAGGAGACGTTGCGGGAAACGAGGTCTTGTTTGGCGAGAAAGGTCTGCGCACGGGTATAATTGCCAGTTGCGAAGTGTACTTGGGCTAACCAAAAGGCGTCCTTCTCGTCATCTGGTGGTAGAAAAAAGTCAGAAAAGCTCATATGGAAGACATTGAATCAAGAGCTAAGGGCTGACGTACTGGTCAGGGCCAGCAACTTGTCGCCGATAAAGATGGCGGAGTCGTATTGGGCTTTGTTTAGGGCATCCTGCCTCCATTCCCGAAGGAACTTTTCCATGGTCGCGAGGCAACGCGGTTCAAGCCAGGAGACCCGAAAAGACAATCGGGATGGCTAATTCGGGAGCATGACCGAGAGACAGCGGCGGAGAGGGGCGGTGGGCTCGGTGAGGTCGACGTTGGACCGTTGAGATGCCGATCAGAGGTGTCGCGAATTGCGGTGGTGAGGTAAGCGCGGTCTGGCGTGTCGTGGAGCTGGGCTTTCTTTTCTTTGGATGACGCGCCGGGGATTGGAGGGACCAGGACGTGAATGCACTGTGCACTGTTGCTGCCCAGGGGTGTGGATCCAGTAAATGGCGGGGTAGGCCAACCAGACGACGTTTTTCCCAGGCACACCACGTGGGCGCGAAGTGGTCAAGTACCTGCCTACCTCTATCTGGTGGCTTTCACCATTGGTGTTTCGAGTTGCACCATGTTCGCCGTTATCCATCAGGCAGACGGTGATCTTATTGCATTGAATATGGCATTCGAGAAAGCGGCAGTCACGTCGAGGTGGGATGAACCGGGCAGCCGAGGTCAACGTGGCTCGGTTTAAGGTAAGGAACGGAACGGACGCACGCCTGTCGCAATGACTTCTTCTATTCCAGGGCTGGCTGGCGTGTGCTTAGACACTGAAAATATCCGCAAAGCACCTGCCGCTGCGCCCAACCTCGAGAAAGCTTGAGGTTAGTGTCCCTGATCTGTCAGCCTCCGGCGCCGATGCTCGCGCTCTCTTCAGGCATGGGCTGTATGCAGTATGTCATGACTCTGGGAAAGGCATTCAAACCTGCTAGGTAGCTTTTCGTGGTGGTGGCATGTGTTTCAGGCCATGCATCTCGAGTCCCCATCCGACCGTTGGACCTGGCCTCTGACAGACAGGACAACGACTTGGGGCCATCTCAAGTGCTGTTGCAGACGCATCTGACACTTTGGCCGCATAACAACGAGCCGAATGGTCTGATGGATACCTCCCATGTACCGACGGAGTACCTTTTCCATGGGAAAGAGACAGATTAGTGAGTAACTGCACGTAATGGACGGTGTGGATTGACTGCGGCAGCAGCACCCACTACATAATGCCAACAGCAGGACGGGGAAGCTCCAAGCTCGTGTTAGGTAAAAAGTATGCGCATAGGAGGACAGCCCCGGACGCCAATCCGATAAATGCAGATGGCGAAAAATGGACAGCAGACAGCACCTACCTACCTTACCTTAGGTACCCTGAGAAGACCAAGACCCGTCGGGCTTCCAGGTCAAAAAGCTGTGCTGTCGCGCCCAACGCAATGGTTGGCGGGCGGCATGGGCGTCACCAGCCCCGGGCCCCAGGGGACGGGATTCGCTGTGACCTCACTGTGGTGCGCCGTTCCAGCTTGCCCGCCTCCTCCATCGCGACTTCTGATTGGCTTAGATGCCAGTGGTGGAGTCATCAGGGGTGAGCCAAGCGAGGCGCTATCGCTCTATCCGCCATCGATAGCAAGGTGACGACTAAGGTCAAGAAAGGATGGACACTGATGCCCCATTATGATTTTTTTTTTTTTCTCTTCAAGCTGTTCATTGTTCTCCATCAGTTGATAATTCGCCCTCCTCTTCGTCTCACAAACATCGCTCCAAAACACGCACCTTACCGATCTCGCATTTTCCTCCACCGTCTGTAATACCCCCAGAATACTACACCTGCACGAGATACCAACAAACACACCCCGTCTTCCATCTTTGCTCCGCCTCTGCCTCGGATACCACCTACCTACCCTACCTACACTGACCCGGCCTCTTCCTAATCGAAGCTCGCTCGTTTCTCTCTCCCACCTTCGAGTCTCCAGTGCTGTCCTCCCGCCGCGAAACTGCCCCTGCAGGCCCTCCTCTCAACCGCCCGCCCGCTCGCCCGCCCGCCGCCGCCGCCATCCCGACCACCATCGCATCCTATTTTCATCCGTCTGTCCCAGCCGCCACAACTGCGACCAGAATTGTAAACCGAGGTGCCGCCGCCCTTGAAGTTTTTGAGGGATCGAATTTCCGATAGAAGTGTTTTTCATCTAGAAAAGTCTTCGAAAGCAGTCCCCATGGATAACAACCTATGGACCCGCCGCACAAAGTAAGTACACGGTACTAGTGCAGTTGCCTCTTTTTTTCCCCTTCACGGTCGACCTCGATATGCACTTTCTATTTTGATGCCACCCCGGTCGCTGCGCTGTGCATATTTCAGATCGCTAACATTGCGACCCGCGTGCAGCTCAGGCAAGCTTTCCCTCTCGACATCGGGCAATGGCAGTCCCGCACCGGGCGGTGACGCCAACCGTAACGGCTCCTTCGCCAAACGATTCGGCGGCGACTCGTCCTCACACGGCGGCAAATCAAATCCCTTCAACAGCGTAACGACCCCCGGCGGCATGGCTTCTCCGACTGCCTCTAACGCCTTCGGCCTGGGCTCCGGCGCTTTCGCTTCCTTCGGGTCTGCGAAGACGCCGAAATCCCCCGGCAACCCTTTCGACATGGCTATGGGCAAGATTGGCGCCAAGGCTGTCGGCGCGTCGTCGCATGATCCCTTGGGTAAGCCGTCCATGGCCTCCATCGCCGAGAATGCGGCGGGGAAGAAGGCGGTGGGCTCGCAACCAGCCTCAACTCGGACATCATCTGAGACCCTCCGCGTCCATCAGCTCAAGTACGAGTGGGTGACGTGGTGTCGGCCGCCCCAGCCAAAGGGCCAGCCGTACCAGGAGTACGCCAAGTCACTGACTCCCATGATCCACTGTAACAGCGTGGAGGAGTTCTGGGTTGGCTATCCGCACCTCAAGCGACCTTCGGAGCTGTCGGTGGGCTGGGAATACCACTTTTTCAAGAGGGGTGTCCGTCCCATCTGGGAGGATGACGAGAACAGGAGCGGTGGCAAGTGGGTGCTGCGCCTGAAGAAGGGCATCGTTGACCGGTACTGGGAGGACACCGTGTTTGCGCTGCTTGGCGAGGCTTTCACCGACTGCAGTGACGAGATTTGTGGAGGTGTGGTTAGCGTTCGCAACGGCGAGGACATCATCAGCATCTGGACGCGCTCGACCGGTGGACGTGTGCTGAGAATTCGGTAAGTGGACCTGCGTCGGCCCCGCTGAATGATGGTCACTAACATGAAAACAGTGAGACGTGGAAGAGCTACCTTAAGTGCCCTCCCAACACGATTTTCGAGTTCAAGTCCCACGACGAGAGCATCCAGCACAGGGCAGCCATCGAAGAGTCGCGCCGCGAGAAGCAGCACGACAAGCGATCCAACGCCATGAAGCAGTCCAGCGAAGAGCAGAAGCAGCCCACTTCCTGAGCCACCAAAACACACCTCCCAAGAACCCCGACACATGCCCTCCCAACCCTCTTCAACGGGCATCATGCCGGGGGAAACGCCGGCACGAGTTCAAATCCTTTCTTGCATTTTTTTTCCAGGCCATCTTTGATGTTTATTTGTACACTATCAGATTCCGTTTTCCGGGTCTTCATAGCATTCGGGTCGAAAGTCCGACGAAAACAACACCTTGTTGGGATAGGGATACCGAGTGGAGGAGAAGGGACGAAGAGAAAGCGAGGACAGGTCGCAAGAGGGCATGATGACTGCTGTTCGTTTTTTATCCAACATAGCAGGCTAGGGGGGAACGAAAGTGCTTCTCGAATTTATTGTCGGACCTCGGAGACGGGGGAAACGATACGATTCAAGGGGCGCAAAAAATGGGCAGCGGTCAACGTTTAGCGGTCACGTTGTTTTATGGATTGCACACAAGCGGTTACTTGGGGGATTGGCTAAACCCATCTTATCATCTTTGGGAGGTGTACACTACTGCTGCGTCGGGCGCAAGCACCGGCACGAGCTGGCTGCGCGGTTCGGAAAGGGGCCTGGACCGGATAGTCTCAATGACTACGAAATGAGCGTCAAATGATTTTTCTGGCATTCGCCGTTTTGCCGTGAATGTTCAAGTATCACGGCAACGTACCTACTAACGATATAAACCAAGCTCCTTGCGCTGGAAAAAGGTACAGATTCTAAAAACGCGCACTCTCTCTTCCGCGTTAATTCTTCATTTTACTTCATACACAATGTAGTTTGGAATTCTACGCCCTGCCCTTGCCCTTTGGCGTCCGCCTCCTCTCCCAAACCTGCAGATACGTCTCGCCGAGGTACAACAGCTCACTCTGCACCTTCTCCACAAACAGATCCTGGCAAGAAACCCACTCGTCGCGGCCCTTGTCCCGCAGCTGCACCTTCCACGTCTTGCGCTCCTCCCCGCTGTCCGCCACGTCCTCCTTCGCGCGGACGGCCTCGTGCACAACGTTGGCGACGAGGTCGTAGATGATGGGCTCGCCGGGCGGCCACTCGCCGGGGTTCGGCTCGACGTACGGGCTGACGTCGAGGCCGTTGGGGTCGAAGGTGACGATGGTCGGGTTGCGCTCTGAGACGAATTTGTTCTGGCTGAAGCGCTTGACGTGGAAGACGAGGTATGGTGGTAATGGGTGAAGGAGGCGGTAGCGCTTGCGTTGGGCCAGGTGTTCCTGGGCCTGTATGCCATCGTATTTTGAGAGGATGGTGGTTAGAGGGACCTGGGGGATGATGTTCTTTTCTAATTCGTCCTGGAAGAGCGGCGCAGCGGGCAAGTCAAGCGTCAGGAACATGAATCGTGTTGATGTTACTGACACGGCAGCGTCCTCGAAGCGTAGGCGGTCACCGGCGTCGGCGCGCGCGGTAATGGCTTGCGACTCGACCTTGAGCTTGCCTTGGAAGATGCGCTGCACGACGGAGCTGCCTGGCTTGGTCTTGGAGCCGCCGAGTCCGAGGTGAAGGTTGTTGAGGAACCATGAGAGGAACTCGACGGGGTCTGATTGCGCCGTCAGAGTGAAGCGCTTGCTCGAGAGGAGGGAGATCTCTTGGAGCAGCTCGTGAGGGGAGACATGAGCCTTAAACGCGCGCGGGTTCCAGATCTTGCGGACGAGGATTCCAAAGCGTTTCGCCAGCTCAGAACGTGATGATAGGTCTTCCAGCAAACAAAAGTTGCGCAGCGGCGCGACGTGTGACAGCGCTTGCACGATGACGTTGAGGTAGTCGTTTTCCTTCAGGTTGTTCATGCCCACGAACCCAGGGGCGTATTCCTTGCCAGCCAGCGTGAATGACGCGCGCAGCGGCGTGCGATCGAGCGCGGCGACTTCCTGCTTCGTATACCGTGGGTCCGAGACGAACTTGATATCGTCGAGTGACTTGGACTTGACTTCGTAGCCCTCGGGCAGGACGTAGACCTTTTGCGTCTGCATGTTGATGAAGACGTGGTGGTTCTCGTCGAGCGCGTGGAAGTAGGCGTGCGACTTGGGTCCGCGACCCTGGTAGTAGCGGCCGCATACGAGGCAGGCGTAGACGTTGATGTTGGATAAGCTGACGGAGCAGAGCTTCTCGAAGTCGAAGTCGAGGACGTTACGGTCTATCGTGTCGAGGTAGAGGTCGTCGTAGCCGTCTGTCGGGGCGGATTGGCGGATGGGGGCTTGTATGGGTGCCTCACCGTCCAGATCGCTTTCATCGTCGCCATCGCCTTGTCTCCCTTCCGGCTCTGCACTGCCGTTTGTCGGTGTTGCTGCCTCCTCCCTCTCTGCGATGTGCCCGTTTTGCTCGATTGGTTCGTTGGATACTAGGGAGTCGACTGTTCTCGAGCGTTTCGAGGCAGGCGAGGCGATACCTGCGATCTCGTCGAGGGACTCTTCTGCATGACGTTTCCTGTAAGCCATGCTGTGTCGTGGGGGTATATAAAGGTTTCGGGATTGTTGTCGGCAGTTTTCGCAGGCAGTGTACGAATATGTGACGCTGGGACAAGGCGCGGATGGATCAACGATGCGGCCCCCATTGCGTGCCTTTCCAGGCTCAAAAAAGTCGCCCGTCTCTCGGGTGATATGCTCACGCCCCACTTTTGCAACCACGCCCAGAGCTTCCGAGTTTTCTACCTACCTTGCCTTGATGTGCTGGGGTGACACCAGATATTTTCTTTCGACATCATCAAAAGTTCAAACTCATATTGATGCCTCCTTGTCAGAATGGATGCTCTAGCAATGGAATCAAGTCAGAGATCCATCTCCGTGTTCATGCCGCCGACTTGGGCTGCAAGAGCAAGTCATGCCAGTAGATAATGCAGCTGAGTGGCGTATGCGGACGTTGTAGTTGCCGGTCCAATTACACGAACAGGTCGCAGATGCAGCAAAAGCACAGCCTGGTCTATGCTAAGCCGGAATGACCTAATAGGCGCCCTCATTCTAGAGCATGTCGGTTCTCTCCTCCCGGGCGTCTCTCGAGAATATTTTCGCAGAACGCATGGCACTACAAAGCGATTGATGGCAATCGAAAATGGCAAGCTCACGGCCCAGTCGCCGCGAAGACTTTACCGTGGCATTGATTTGTGCCATTCCCATCGAATTTGATGCCGTCGCGCTGGCTTTCGATGAAATTTGGCCAGGAAACCAATTCGGCAAGGCACCCGGCGACTACAATTCATACACTCTGGGTCGAATGGGCAGTCAGAATGCCGTGCTCGTTCTGCTGCATAAGATGGGCAAGACGAGCGCGGCAAGTGCGACGACCAGTCTTCGACATAGCTTTCCATCTGTCAATCTAGCCTTCCTTTGCGGCGTTTGCGGCGGAGTGCCCAGTCCAAGCCCCGACGTCGAGATTCTACTAGGAGACGTGATCATCAGTGAGAGCGTCGTTCAGTATGACTACGGCCGTCAGTATCCCTCAAATTTGGTCCACAAAAACACTGCCAGTGATGTGTTGGGGATGCCCGTCAAAGAAATCCGAGCATTTCTCACTCGTCTGAAGACGGATTTCGGGCGCGACGAACTGCGCAATCAAATCTCTAATGCGATGGCACAAGTCCAGCGGAAGACTGTGGAAAATGACCCTTGCTCGAAGTATGTTCATCCTGGTATCGAGCAAGATGTTCTTTTCCAAGCGGACTACCTTCACAGACATCGGCACCAGCAGAACTGCAGCTGCAGTCAGGATAGCGTTTGCGACGAAGCCATCAAAGCGTCCTGCGCGGATTTGCAGTGTGATCCAGAAGCTCACTTACCCAGAAAGCGTCTCGATGCCCAGAACCGAAGAAAACGCGGGCAAGATTCTATCTCGGACCTTTTGAAATCACCGCCACGAGTATTTGTCGGCACAGTGGGCTCAGGAGATACCGTAATGAAATCCGGGAAACACCGCGATCGAATGGCGCAGCAACATGGTATTATTGCCTTCGAGATGGAGGGCGCCGGCGTATGGGACGAGATTCCCTGCATAATTGTCAAGTCGGTCTGCGACTATGCCGACAGTCACAAGAACAAAGAATGGCAGGGCTTTGCATCTGTGGCGGCTGCTTCCGCAACCAAGGCGATTTTCAACATGTACAACTTCGCTGCAGTACCAACAGCCACGACACATGTCTCCCAAGCTTCAGAGACACCAAGTCCAGCTTGTGAGTGGCTGAGTGGCTTTATCAAGACCTTCGACTAACCGCGATATAGTCATTGTCCCCTACACTGAAAATCCAGATTTTGTTGGCCGCTCAGAAATCCTCGAACGGGTGAAAGATCTTTTTGGTCACAGCGATACTTATCATCGCCCTGGCAGCAAGCCACGCTCTAGAGTCGCCCTTCATGGTCTTGGTGGAGTCGGGTATAGAGCCCTCCTGGTCATTTTCCTGTCTTTATGCTAAATGCTCTCAGAAAAACACAAATCGCTCTGGCCTACTGTTACTGGTTCAAGGAGAGGTTTCAAGACGCTTCCATCTTTTGGATCCATGCGAGTAACGTCGAACGATTCCAGAAGGCGTTCAGTGATATTGCTCGAGAATGTGAAATTCCTGGACATAACGACAAAGGAGTTGATATCTTTAAAATCGTCAAAGGATGGCTGGAGAATAGGCGGCGAGGCCGATGGCTCCTCGTAATCGATAATGCCGACGACACGGAGGTCTTCCTCCCCTCAAACCCCACCGCCGAAGCCGGTCCTCGAACAACCAGCTTAGGACATTCCATACCCGAATGTTCCCATGGATCAGTCCTCATCACCACAAGAAATAAGCAGGCAGGCCTGAAGCTTACTCGGGGAAACCCGCCGCCTATTGAGATTCAAAGGATGACTGACACAGAAACTACTCAGCTATTGCGCACACTGCTTGGAGATGAAAGTGTGACGCCTGCAGAAGCGTCACTTCTATCATCACGTCTTGAACATCTACCCCTAGCTCTTTCGCAGGCAGCATCTTTTATCCTTGAGAACTCAACATCTATCAAGGCTTATGTCGGGCTCCTGGACAAAAGCGACTCCAGTATGATCGACCGCCTGAGCGAGCCATTTGAAGCAGTCGGACGAGATACTGAGACCCCTCATGCATTGACAGCCACATGGGCCATCTCTTTCAAGCACATTGAGCAACAGAAACGTATGGCAAGCAACGTGTTGTATTTGATGAGCTTCTTTGACCGTCAGGCTATACCAAAGCAATTTGTCTGGGATTACTGCAATGAAAAGCTACGGAAAGCGTCATCCTCCGACGATGGCTCAGACCTGGCTGAAGATTCCAAAAAACATTTTCAAGTTGACACTGATTTGGAGGTCACCCAAGCCCTAGGGGTTCTCCAGGCATTTTCCCTCATCTCCAAGGCTGGTGATGACTTATTCGACATGCACAGACTAGTGCAACTTGTCACTCGAAAACAGCTTGCTGACGGGGGTTCAATGTCCGAATTTGCGACAAACGCACTCCAAATAGTGTGCAAAGTGTTTCCACAGGGGAAACACGAAAACCGAGTAGTATGTCTCCAACTGCTACCGCATGCGCTGGCTGTTTTAGGGCACGCGGAAGTTACTAGAGAGAAGCCACTTAAAGAGGACGCCTGGCTTTCACGTGATGTCGGTCAATTTTTTCGTTATCGAGGGCATTACCAAACGTCAAAATCGTTTCATCTCCGTTCCATAAACTTGCACAGCAAAGTTTTTGGGCCAGAGGACAAACGGACAACAGCAGCTATGTGCTATTTGACAAACGTATACTACTCTATAGGTCGATGGGAGGAAGCCCTTGAACTAGCATTGAAGGTGCTAGAAGTTGACCAAAGACTGAGATCAGAAGACACCGAATTGATACTAGGTGACAAAAGAATGGTAGCGACTGCTCTTAATGCTCTGGGACGCCATCAGGAGGCAGAACCGCTTTGCTTAGAGGTTTTTTCGAAGAGAAAGGAGACACTTGGGGCAGAGAACCCTGATACGCTACGGGCTGTCCACGAAATTGTCGACGTATACCGTCGGACTGGTCGATTAGAAGAGGCACAAGAGCTCTGCACAAGTCTCGTTGAGCTCACAAGCAAGGTCAGAGGCGAAGAGCATCCTACCACGCTGAGTCGTATGTCAGTGCTTTCCAGCATACATCAGAAGCTAAGAAATTATGACGACGCCGAGAAAGTGGCCTTGAAGGTTGCAGAAATACGAACAAGGATTCTCGGAGAAAATCATCCTCGGACTACTTCTGTTCTCGGGAGGCTTCGGAGCATATACCATGATATGGGTCGCGTCGAAGAAGAGAAAAGGCTGTGCCGAAGGCTATCGGAAGCCCAAGAAGGGTCTTAAGTGAATAAACTTGCACGCGAAGTGCATATACTAGCAAGACTATAGAGAGGGCTTTCACAGAATCGTTGTCTCTGAACTCCACTCAATGAACCCGCTATTTGCCTACTAAGGATACTAGGTCTTGCATATGTCCTGCTAAACCCTTTTGGAGTTGTTCTAAACGCAAGTATATTTTAGTATGCTGGCACGCGTGCTCGGTTTACAAACGCTAGAAACAAAAAAAGAGAGGTTTCACCTAAAGCGACAGTGCAGGAAGATCAGTAAGGCAAGACTCATTCGATTTCACAGATCTTATCAAGACCAGATCGCAATAGCGGCATCACTCAGGGAAAGTCTAGGGTTCAGACAACATCTTGGCCTAGCTGTAGTATATAGCGGAATTTGCGAGACGTAGGAGGCTGGAGGCACTCAAAACCAGTGCGAGTCCCGATGCTAAACCCTTTCATTCGTATAGGTAAATATGCATAAAAGACGAATATGTCTAGTATTCTACTACCTTGCCTTATAATTACTGTAGTTGATCAGGATGCCATAATGGCGTCTCTCTCTACATCCATGGCGTCGTCCATGGCAACATCCTCTATCGCGGGCGCAAGACTGTCCATCTCGCGCAGGGTATATTCCACCAGATAACTCTCGTCCACAAGCTCGTCCATCCTCCTGTAGTGTCGCTCCGTGTATACCTTGAGGGCGTTAAGCACCTCCTTCAAACTCTTCTGTCCGCGAGCCCCCTTCACTGAAAGGTTAGAGAACTTGGACGCAGGGTAGCTGCGCACCAGGGCCCACAGGATGCGCTGAGCAACAGCAGCTGTCCTGGCGTTCGTGTTCCAGTCACGCAACCTCAGGAGAAGGGTAAAGATCTGCTCATCGGAGAGAGTAGCAAGCACCTTGTCGACAGCCTTCAAGCCACAGAGACTGCCCTGATCGGGGGTGGCAGAGTTCACAACAGAGGTGAACAGGCTCAGCAGGCGACCGGGGTGGTTAAGCTGGAGGGCAAGAACAATAGCATCACGGTAAGAACCGGCATGGATGTGATTTTCAAGTTCTTGCTCCTGCTCAACCAGCTTCTGAGCGGCTTCCGTAGCGGCAGCCTGGGACTCAGCCGTGGTATCCTTCCAGAAGGTGACGATGGAGTCACCGTCACCAGAAACAATTGTGTTGTCACTGGAGTTGACGGCCAGCGCCCAGATACGGTCCTCGTGGTTGTCAAGCGTTGCCTCGGCTTCGCCAGAGTTGGCATCCCAGACCTTGACCAGGCCGTCGCTACCCGCACTAGCGAACTGGAGCTGTTTCTTGCCCTTGCCCTCGAGCTTCGGCATGTTCAGCCAGACAACCTTCAAAACACTGTTAGAGTGACCCTCAAATGTCCTGATGCAGGTGTAGTTGGTCAAACTCCAGAGCTTCACCGTCTTGTCGGCACTACCCGTCAAGACGACACCCTTTCCAGCAACCTGGCCCTCGTCTCCCTGAATGGCGGGGCACTGGGCAGGAGCAAACTTGATGGACCACACACCTCTGCGGTGGCCGCGCAGAATACCCTGGACTTCGCCCTCGGCCACGGACCAAATCTTGACCATCTTGTCTTGAGATGAAGAGGCAAAGAGTTGACCGGAAGGATGGACATCCATAGCGTTGATATCCTTGTCGTGCGCCTTTCTGGTGAAGACAGCACGGCCGCCCTTCTTCCCTTGCTGAGCTTCCCTCGGGATATCCCACTTCTTCACAGTCTGATCTTGAGAGCCAGTCAAGAGGAATGGCGGGGGATGGCTCAAGGGATCCTTGAACTGTGCTGATGACTCCTGTGGGGGCTGCTTGGGCAGAGCAACTGCGCCAATTGACTCGGTGTGACCCGTGAAGGTAGCATAACATGTGAAAGAGTTGTTCTCGGGGTCGATGCGCCAGAGACGAGCAGTGTTGTCCTTCGCACCCGTTGCAACCCAGTATCCCGACCAGTCAATATCCAAGGAGACGATAATGTCATCGTGACCCTTCAGTAAAGCCAGGTCTTGACCAAAGTATGTGGAGTCCTCTGTGGTAGCGTTGGCGTCGGAGTCCTTGACGGAGACGATGCGGATGTCTTCGGCATTTGTAGCGAGGGCGAGGAGCGAGCGGTCGGGGAGCAGGTAGGTGAGATCGATGATCGAGTCGTGGGTGCCGGAAATACGCCTGAATGGTTCGAGCAAGGAGCCCTCAACGTCATCCTTCTCGGGCACCTTGTAGAGTGCAAGCGTATGGTCCACTTGTACGCACAGCACAAAAGGAAGCTCGGGGTGAGAAACAGCGCTCACAATGCCCTCCGCCTCAGCCTTCGCAGGCTGCTCCTTCGTCAACTCGCGTCCCGTGTCAGTATCCCAGATACGGAGGCAGCCCTTGGCGCCCGCGGAGTAAGTCAGACGACCGCCGTCAACAAAACCAACAGCCTCAATAAGCTCCAAGCAAGGCACGATCTTCCGAATCTTCCAAGACCTCGCATCCCACCAGATGATCGTCTTGTCTCTGCCTGCCGATACGATGGCGTTCTGTTCGGGGGAGTAGTCCAGGCCTTGGACGTTGGAAACGTGGGAGTCGAGGTTTGCAACAGCGGCGCGTTTGTAGAGATCCCAGACTCGAACCTTTCCATCTTGGCTACCGGACACCAACCGCCAATTTGTCGTCGTAGAGTTGTCGTCCTGCTCCTCGACCTGCTTCGACTTCTTCCCTTTCTTGCCAACCTTCTCAACTTCAAGGTCGTTCGAACGAGCAGCAACCTCGAAGAAATGAAGAGCGGAAACGAGAACACTTGGTCCGCGGAAGGTGTGGGTAACGTAGCCTCCGACAATGTCCCAGACCTTAATTGCTCCATCCGTTCCTCCGGTCGCAAGAAGCGTGCTGGTTCGGTCGACAGCGAGAACGACGACAGGGGTTCCGTGTGGCTTGAGGGATCTCGTCAACTTCGCTTCGATCGTTCCGTCTTCGGTGGTCTTCAGAGCGTAAATCTTCATGGACAAAGATCGGGAGCAGGTGATGAGGTGAGACCCGGAGGGCGTCACTAGATTCAGCGTTAGAGATTGCTCAATGATGCTGGTATGCATACGTACAGGTCAAAGTCGAGATTTGTTCGCCATCCTAGGAGTGCATGGTCAGCATCGCGTCAATTGAGTGCGGTCTGGGGCGCATACGCCTTCGATCTTTGCAAGATGCTTTCCGTTAGAGGGGTTGGTCAAGATCACGTCCTCCCCAAGTGGTGTGGCCAAAATCTTGGCGCCATTGTCCAATGCAACAGAGCCTCCAGTGAAGATAGGCCGAATGACCTTTTCCGGTTCGAAAGTGGTCTTGAACGGTTGTTTGCTCGCCATGATGTTGGTTGTAGAAGCAACACGAACAATCGCGATAAGCATTGCCGGGCGAAAAGTCCAGAAATTTTTCTTTCTGTTGGCGGGATGCGCTTATCGATAGCGGTATCTAATCCGAGCCCCACTTCGTGCTCCAGGAGCTACCCCCGGCACCATTCGACAGCGACAGCGACAGCTGCTTCACTGAAGCACATCCCGGCGCATTCTCTCAAACGCATTATAGCTGCTGACATCTGAAAAGCAGCCACAAGGCCACTTTTTGCCCTCAAGTTGACAGCAACGGTCTTGCCAGGGACTTTGAAGCAGCGACAGTGAGACGACCAATTCAAGTCAACCACATTGTCGCACATATGTTGGAGCGCATCTGTGCCCGAAGATGACGAGACAAGGCCCGTTGACGGCTCAAGCCTTGGTAAGCACCTCCGCAACCCACCAGGGCCACCGCAGCTGATAGGTTTACTCAGGGCCGGTCGCCATACGACGATGTTGTTGAGGGTGAAGGCGAAGCCGATCCTCGGGCGCCAGAGCAACAATACGACAACCGCGGCCGACCGATCAATCCCGAAACCAAGCGTATGAACCGGGACATGGTCCGATCTCATAACGAGGTCATGCAGGTCATAGGAGTTGCGGAGCCTGACAACACACCCTCTGCGGCAGAGGTTGATTCAGTGCGACGATACTTCAACTATGAAGATGCCGTGGGCACTCGGCTCCTTCGCTTTGGGCGAGCACTGGAGATCGGAGGAGTTTGGGGCATCAACGGTATGCGACTGCGCATTCTTCTGTATAAGCGCTATGCAGACATTTCATTCTTCGAACTGCTCCAGAACGAAATCGGCAATCGCTCGCTCGCAAGTGCCCTCGGTACTGGTTTACCAACCTTCCTGGGTGGTCACGTCTTCAAAATGGCTACTTACTACCTCTATCCCTTCCCAAGGAAGAATAGGTGGTTAAACATGGGTCTATCCTACATCCGAGTACACCTCCAGCTCTACGTGTTTCTCCAACGCCTAGACATCATACCATCCAGCAGATGGTTCCCGTCACTGAGCTTCTTCATCCCGGGATCGCCTTCTTCGCCTATTGCAGCGCCAGAACCGCCAAAGGACTTCAGCGTCGAGTCGTTAGCACAGTATGCTTGCGCCTGGTGCATCAACGCTGTTCCCTTTGTCTCGTTTGTTGTTTGGGGACAAATCTGGACCGAAGTGACTGGTCATCTGTGGCAAGAGTTCTACGGAAGGCTGCCAAACACAGTGCATCATCGCAAGCCTCCCCCACCTCCCCCACCACCGGCGCCGATCCCCGAGATACCGGACCCAGAGCCGGAAATCGAACAGCCCCAAGACGAAGCTATTCCGGAGGTGCCAATTGAGGCACTTGGCGGGGTTCCCCAAGAGCCCAATGACGGTGCCCCAGTTCAGGCAGTCCGCCGACAAAGCACATTCTCAGCAAGAGGAGACGAGTACGGTAGCGATGATGACGAGGATGGAGGCGTCAGTGCAACACTCATCAGCTTCGATGTTGAAGCTACTGACTCCACCGATGCGCCTCCAGGCCTCTGGTCCGCAGAGCTTCGACCAAGTACAGGACCAGATAGCGCCTACGGCCACGCCTCCGTGCAGTACATGGACACCATGCTGACTAGGCTCCCTGCATGCCTCGCATCAGACATTTTCACAGTCATCTCTGGTTACGTGCTCGTGTCTCCGTATGAGGCTCTTTCACTCAGACTAGTCGCAAGGTCTTACAGGTCCAGGATGGGGCTTCCTTTTGATGATATCCACGAGATCAATATCTTCAGTGGTATGACATTGAAGGGCATCACCAACTTTTTGGGGTTGGAGTTCCTGCACCTGGTAATTGCTGGCGAACTTTGGACGATCATCACGTCCCTTGCCCAGTGGTTTCACCTCACTGAAGAAGAGTGGAAATTACTAAACGAGTTAGACGAGGCCGAAGCAGCCGAGGAACGAAGAAGACAACAAGAACAGTCCTAACATGGACCAGGGGTTGATGTTTTTATTGAGGCATGTAAGAGTAAAATGGCGTATTTGGCGTTAAGCACGTGCGGGATTACGAGATACCTCATCACTTGAATGGAAAAAGTGGCAAAGCATGTCTCTGTTTCGTTGCTGAATTCATTAATCTTGGGTATCATAAATGCTACGACGTCTTTCATGGTGGGAATGCGAACACCGCCAGCCTATGGGATTACCTCCTCTCCTTGCCCTTGCCCTTCTTGTGCTTGTCGGCTTTCTTTTGCTCAACAAATTCCTTCACAAGGTCCAACAAGTCGGGGTTCTTCCTTGCCAGAAGCACCACGTCCTCTGTCTGCACTGTCGACCTCCTGGCATGTCGACTGAAGTTTTCGAGGTCAATGGCGACGGACTCTGCGGGTAATTTAGCCCGGAAAGCACATAGGCATATACTTGCATATCTCTTACCTATTTGGGACCAAACCATCTCAGTCAATGCACCGATGAACTGCGGTGTAGCGTTGCAGTTCTGCTTCAGCGACTCCTCATCGACGATTTTGCCAACGGCGAACCAGAGTGCGGCCTTAAGGCGCTGAATGACGGATTAGACCAGAATTAAGCCCCCAGCTGTGGAATCCGCTTACCTCACGCTGCTCTTCGTCCATTGATTCGGCCATCGTGAGTGCGATAGACGTGAGGTGCGTTGAAGTCCGTACCACTTTACGCGACAGACGCGTCTCCAGTCCCTGCGATGCTCTGTTTGCCCGATGAAAGTAGAATGACAGCCGAGAAGCTAAGTTTTGGCGCGTCAAATCAGCAGCGAGATTGCACGAATTGCGTGAGCTGATGGTTGGGCGCTCAACCTTGAAGGTCAAGTTGATAAACCAAGCTGCGTGAACACTGAAGATAATCACATGATCTCGCGTTTGATGACTAAGCGTCGCTCTGGGTGGCTGGGCAGGTGCTTCCTCGCGGGAACCTTCTTCCAAATTATTGTTATGTTGTAATCATATCCTATAGATTTCACAAGTATCAATCCATACTAGAGATCTTTCTGAGTTCAGATGAATAGCCAACTTGTTTCGCGGCTTCTTGTCCTGTTCTAGTGGTATTCCCTCTGCGTGTACCTTGAGGTTTTCCAATGCGAAGAAACGCGCTGTGACATCACTGGCGAACCCCCTGTAGGACCCTTGGAAGTCGCTGCACCAGTGTGAGCTTCCAGCGTTTCTCCAATGCCGTGCCCACCAATTGGCCGGAGCTAGCGGGTTCTTCCACGTGGGGCCTTTGGAGCAATTTTGACGCCGTGCGGGCCGACTCTCAACGTCGCGACATTTTTCTCTAGCCGCGATTCCTCATCCGCATCAATTCTCCTTTTATTATTCCCTCAAGGCCGCCACCTCATCCGGCTGACCCGACTCAACTATCTGCAACGATCACATATAACGCACGACTTTCTCTCAACTCGCAAAGCGCAAACCGACTCGGCGGGCTTTCCTCCACACGACCGTTGCCTCTTAATCCCCCCCACTTTGCGACACCAAACCGTCAAAATGGCCGGCATCTTCGACCTTGTGTCCACCGTCTGGACGCGCTTCAGCACCAACCTGCGCGGCAGTCTTGAGGGCATGACGCCCGAGAAGTGGATCCGCCTCGTTATCATCGTCGGCGCATACTGCCTCGTCCGTCCCTACCTCATGAAGCTGGCTGGCGGCAAGCAGATGAAGGAGCACGAGGCTCCCATCGAGGACCTCAACGCCCCCAAGGCGCAGGTCCAGCCCAACACCCTGCGCGGCCAGGTCGAGATTCCCGAGAACAGCGACGACGATGACGATGACGCTCCCAGCTCTACGACGGCGACCGACTGGGGCAAGAAGGCGCGCAGGAGGCAGCGCGACGTCCTCAAGAAGATGATTGACGCCGAGGAGAAGAGACTAGCTGAGCTGCAGGAGGATGATGAAGATAAGGATATCGAGGAGTTCCTGGTCAAGGAGTAAAAGACTGGGGAATATGAAAGCAAAGGCGCGGCTTTTTTGATGGCGTTCGCTTGGTTGGTCGTCTAGCATCATTAATATATATCTACCGGTGCTTTTCTGGCTACCCTCTTGTCTCGTTTTGCAAGTTGTTCTTGCGGATGAGGCTGATGTTCTTCACTGATTGACGGGGTCTCGAGGAGTGCATCTACGAGTTTGATGTACCATACAAGTGCGCCACTGTACAGGTTATGCTGTTTTCAGAGAGGTACTTAAATTGAAGATGTAATGGTTCAAGATTTGTTGAAGTGTCCAGAATACTTCCATCAAAACTAGGTTAGTTGTGAGTTTACTCGCAAGGTACGTTGCTGCTGCTCGTTGAACCAAAAAGTCCGAAGATCTACTTAAGCCGTGTCGATGCACACTCAAAACGCACAGTTATGTATGACTTTAGTCTGTGATGTTAGTCCGTGGCGCTGCCACCTCATAATCATAGAGAACTCTGGACCATACAAAGATTCAATACATGTTTGCTTACCTCCAAGCACCGAAGTCGCCAAGTGTGAAATGAAGCCGCCTGCATTTGTAGCGCTCGGACCACAATCCGGTCTGAACAGGGATAGAGGTGCCACTAAAGTTTGTGACCCCCTTGTCTGCTCCACCGACCGAACTGCTTGCACTGTTGGACTTTGAGAAATCAGCATCTGGGGCGCTTTCTGAACGCGTCTCTAGAAGCAAGGGTTTCGAGCTCTTTCTTCCTCCAAATCATTCGCTCCACAACCTGCGCATCAGGTTGTTGCCGTCGCCAAAGGGGATAGACGAAAGCCTTTGCGACAGACAGCTCATGTGGCTCGCGGTGCAGGCAAACCCACCGATCGATTGCGAAGCGCGCAAACGACACTGTTCTGCGACACCAACGACACCCCCGACCGGCGGCGCGAATATCAATACCTACGTCCACTGACTGGGGTCACAGCAGAATGGCGACGTCGGCGCTACCTGCCGTCATGGCATCTGGGTCTGGCGATGCTGCCGCAGGTGCGACAATCGCCAACGATGCCCCGGCTCCCAGGAAGTACAAAGCCTCCGATCTTCCTCTGCCGTCTGCCACCCGAGCTGCCATCGATTCACTGGCGCACAGCTTCAAGAAGAAGGGAGGCTACGACGCAATTCGTAAAGAAGTGTGGGACAAGTTCGCTGCCAGCGTAAGCCTGCACTCTCATTTGGCCATCGGCTTTCCTGCTAACGGACGATTCAGGACTACGAGGAACAAGTTACGAAAGCCATCCTCGAGGTCGCCGAACACGAGGTTCAACGAAACCCCCACCAACTTCTCACACTCGACCGCGGAAAGGCTGCTGCCCTTATTGATGGCGCTCTCGAGCGATCTGGCGTTTACCAAAAGGCTGAGCAAGTCATTACGCAGCTCATCGATAAGAAGGCGATTGAGGAGCGAATGCGCCAGCTTCGTCGAGCCGACATTGGCGAGGAAGAAGCGACCGCGGAGCAGCAGCGAGGCGCCAAAACAGACGAGGAATACCATGCAGATACTATGGGCAGAAGAGCTGAGCGGGAGAGAGTACGCGAAGAGCTAAGGCAGAAGGAGCTAGCTATCGAGGAAGAGAAGCGAAAGATCGCTCGAGAGGAGCGAAAGAAGGTCGAAAAGGAGCGCGAAAAGGCGGAGGAGCAGCGCAAGGCAGAACGAGACGCCCGCAGAGCCGCTAGGGAAAAGGCTCAGGCTGAGCGAGACGCCGAACGAGACGAGCGCCGCAGACAAAGAGACAGGGAGCGAAGTCGAGACCGGAACCGCGACAGGAGTCGAAGCCGCAGCCGTCGAAGAGACCGCGACCGCGATCGCGAACGTGACCGTGAACGTGATGCCGAGCGCGAGCGTGAGCGGCAAGAGGAAAGGGAACGGAGACGGAAACAGCGAGAAGAGGAGACTGAGAAGGCCAAGAAGAACCTCACCCAGGAAGATATGAAGAGGCTCGAAGAGGAAGCCCTTTTGGATCTCTTGCGCGAAAGCACCCACGGCGCAGCGAAGCAACCCGAGATGGAAATTGATGAGGCGCTGGCTCCCCCGCCTAGAAAGCTGGCACCAGCGTCTGCTATCATGCCTATCAAGAAGGTTTCTTCGCGCGATTCGCCAAAAGTCTCGGAATCCAAAAAGCCCTCTGATCCGGTGGCAAAGAAAGAAGCAAGAGATGGCAGTGTTGCTGCCGCGCCAAAGGTTGGGCCGACAGAGACACGGACCAGAAGCCGTAGGCGGTCGAGAGATGGCGGAAAGGATCGTGAACATGATCGTGACGATGACAGGCGTCGCACGAGAGATGATGACGACCGCCGCAGACGTGATCGTCGTTCCAGGTCACCCCGCCGGGATCGTTCTCGCGACAGACGTGACAGATCTCGCTCCCGGTCAAGACCTAGGCGCGATAGGAGTCGATCTCGGATACGCACAGAGAGGCGAGATAGGACTCGTTCTCCTTCCCGTACCAGAACTCGACGCGATCGGAGCCGTTCTCGCACAAGACACGACCGTCGCGACAGGAGCCGTTCCCGATCTCGCGTTAGGGACCGCAGCCGGGATCGGCGCAATGACAGACGGGACAGAAGTCGCTCCCGAACTAGGACAGAGCGCCGTGAAAGGAGTCGCTCACGCACTCGGGTGGAGAGGAGGGATAGAAGCCGTTCTCGCTTGAGATCCGACAGGCGCGAACGGTCTCGCTCAAGATCTCGACCACGCACGGCAAGACGAGACCGCAGCAGATCTCCCATGGGCGAGAGGCGCGAGTCTGCTCGTCAGGATCGCAGTCGTTCTCGCACCAGAAGAGATCGTTCTCCTGATCGGGCTAGGGACCGAGAGAAGGAGCGGGACCGCGACCGCAAGAGTAGGTCACGGTCGCGTCCCACTTCTTCAGCAGTCAGGTCAGCCTCCAAACTGGACAAGGAACAGGAGGTTAGAGAGACAACAAAAATGGACGAGGTTCGGAAGCGGGAGAAGGAAGCCAAGGCATACTTGGCCGCACAGCGCGAGGCTCGTGAGAAGGGCATGCCCGTCCCAGGAATCGACGACAAGAGGAGTACAGGAGAGCGGTCTCCAGAAGCCAAACGGAAGCGAGATCTGGACGAGATCGATCGGTACGTGCCTCCCGGTAGAGACAGGGAGCGGCCGCACGATCTGTCGCGTGATGATCGTGAAGACCGCCGCCGCAGCCGGTCGCGGAGCAGAAGTCGGGCCAAGGATCGCGACAGAGAGCGTGATCGAGACAGAGATCGAAGAGATAGAGACCGTGATCGCGACCGCGACCGCGAGAGAGACCGTGATAGGGACAGGTCCAGAGATCGCCGGGATCGGGACAGGGATAGAGACCGTGACCGTGACAGAGATCGCGATCGGGACCGCCGTAGCCGGAGAGATAGGAGCCTCTCATCACGCCGGGACCGGAGGGATCGGAGCCGCAGTCGAAGAAGGAGCAGAAGCCGCTAGAAGCCGCTGGTTCCTCTTCCTGTGGCTGAATACCCCACGGACTTCAAAGGAAATCAACAGGCAAAACGCAGCTTCTCGCGGTATCTGAACGGTTAGGCTGGGAAAAGGGGGCGTTCTAAAGGGCTGTACTAAGGATTCATAATTTCATACCAGCTATGGCAAAGTAGCAACTGTACAAGTATAAAACACATGGTACTATTGAAGATGCTTTCCACAATGCTTCGTCGTCCTACGTTTACAGGTAAGTTACCTAGGTAGTTTGAACGGTCCCGACGCCGAAAGCTGGCCGGCCCCACTTCATGATTCGGGCTTGGGCCGGGTGCCGGTGCAGGATGATCGGGCGGCTACGGCGCACGATAGGGCTTAACGAACGGCGGGGAATCCCGGTCCTCGAACAGCCGAGTCCATGATGCGATGATTTCTCTCGCTTAATCATCGCCCAGGGCTTCAAGTACAGAGAGAAATGCACCCTCCTTGCTCGAAGGCAGGGTACCCAAACCTTGGTCCCAGATGACAGCGCCTAACGCGAGTCAAGGAAAGGCCCTTCAGTGTCGGAGGCATGGACTTTAAAGACGTCCGCTGGAATCCGAGTATTTGCTGCGCGTTACCTGGGACGCCGTTGGTGTACGCCGTCTTGGCTGTGATTATTCAAGGTTCTCCCGCCGGTATTGCGGTAATCTCCCCAGCCTCAGCCCATTCGTCGACTTGAAACCCGTAGGGCAGGTCACCGTTGCGACAGTCTCGGATCTGTAAAGTTAGATAAGGATTGCAATAGAGTATTCCAGGGCCACCCTTTTTGAAGTTTTTTTTCTCTTTACTTTTCTTCGTAGCTACAAGTAAATGATGGAGAAACCCACCTTCTCTGATTCGCTCTGTGGTTCGCTGTCTTGGCTTCATTTGGGTTACCTTTTTCACTGCTAATTTGACTTGATGGTGATGGTCACTTTGTTCAACTAAAGTTTGATCGAGGTGCGCGAGTTTGATGGAGGGGAGGAGGGGCTCTGCTGGAATTAGGCACGCCGAGTCATGGGAGTGCCTGATATGGGACGTGGAGGTGGGGGGCCTTTCCGAGTTGCTGAATGGGCGTCACGTCTCAGGAAGTTGCCGGCGGTTCCGTCTGGGGAAACTTTATTTTGGCCTCTCGGACGTCTCCTGCTGCTGCTTTGGTTCTTTTCGGTGCGATGGGAGCGAAACCGAGTGTAACGATACCCGTTGGGCTTACTCAGTGTAGTAGTGGATGGGAGTTTTACAGAAGTTGTGATGGTGACATAGATTGCCTCACTGGGACTGCAGTGTAATTGATATTTCAAAAATAATGGTTAATAAAAAATCCCTTCTATCGCAATCCTTGCCTGCCCGCATATCAATGATGCGCCCGAACGCCTGTCATCCCGTCTTTCCTGGGTCCCCTTCCAGTATCAGATCACTCTACAATCACAAGCCCAACACTGCTGTCAGCTCAGTCCATTAGACTGGTCTGATAGTCCCTGAAGTTTGCGTTGGGCGGATCGCGGTCAACCAGATACTTGAACTTGTCGGGGTATCGCTTGATGTAGTCCGGGATGTCATGGTTCACCTCAATGCGGTCAAAGTTGGAGTCGCCTCTGCCAAAGCTGTGCCAGTGTCGTTAATAACGTGCTCTGAAGGATGCCTTGACAGGAGAACTTACATATCATGACCCAACCGAGCCACTTTGACGATCCATTGCGGGTCCTTGAACTCGGGCTTGTTGAATTCGGAGTGCGAGAACGAGTTGATCTTCTGCGCCATCTCTTCAGTGGTGCTGAAGCAGTAACTGCAGTGCCACCCGCCCTGGTTGAAGTGATGATCGTTGGCGTTTGAACGCAGATCGTCCGGCAGGACGGTATCCTTGCCGCGGAACAGCGTTGCCTGCGGATGGTTCCAGTCGTTTCTCGAGAGCCACTGGTACGAGTAATAGTAAATCTTGGAGTGAATCGTAACCCGGGTCGGCACCTCGCAGTTGCGCAGCGCGCGGAGGACCTCGGGCTTGGGGATCTCGTCGACGTCGGAAACAAGAAGGATGTCGTCCTCGGAGGCCGCCTGCTCGCCCGTCAGGCCGGGGATGACCTGCTCGTACATGGCGTTCCGGCTCAGCTTCTCACGGTCCCAGGTCGAGCCGTCCTTCATGGCCTCGAGGTCCATGGTGCGCACGATCATCTTGTCGTGCCAGGGCTTGAAGAGGTCCCAGTTGTCCTTGACGTACAGCGGCTTGGGGTGGTCCGTGAAGGTCTTGTCGGACTCGAGGATCACAAAGTAGTCAACGTACGGCGCCATCTGGCCGAGGCGCAGCTCGAGCATCTCGATCTCGGTGTTGACGAGGAGGAGGTCGTAGATCTTGCGCTTGCGGACGAAGTCCTCGGGCATGGACTTGAGGCGGTAGTGGTCGCAGTACTCCTCCGCCTTCTCGGGCGAGAGGATCTCGGTTTTGGCGAGACCCGTGCTGGTGTCGATGCCATCGCTGGGCGGCGAGCTGTACTGGGAGGCGATCTTGCGCACCCTGTCTGCCACTTCCGAGGGGGCGTTCACTCGCCAAACGAACCAGATGAAGACCGCTGAGGCAAGAAAGGCCAGATACTTGATCTGGTGAGACGAAGCGGATGCCTTCATGACAGGCAAGGTGTGTTATAACAATATAATGTGGTAAAAGAGTGAAAGAAACGCCCGAACGCTGCTCAATCCAGGTGAGCTTCGGTATGAAAGAAGGAATGACCGACGCCGGATGAAGAGGATGTGAGGGGAAGAGACACACGCGTACCAGCCAAATATGAGGTAAAATACATGGGCCGATGAGGGGTGTGGCCTGAAGTACTTGAACTCTGAAGGGTTCGATGGGGGCCGTGGGCTCACAGCAGACTTCTACAACGAGTTGGTCCACGCTCCCAACTCGAGCTATGCATATACGTCGATTTCAACCCCAATAGATAACAGCTCGTCGCATTCTTGGCTGTGCAAGATCAGCATGCAGCTGAGATTCAGCTACCCCGTCGTTGCGAGCCTTGTGCGTGACGGCGATAGAGTGATGGCGTCGTAAGTCGGCATCGGGAACAGCGACATGTCCTTTGGCTTGTCATTAATGCCAGTAAACTCAAAATTATTCTTGGGTACCTACTCATGCATGCCGCTCCTTGTATCGTGTGATACCTGACCTATCTGCCCGGTTCCGTTCCGTGGTGTCTCGACGTTCCTCCTGATGGCAGTTAGTTGGCTGCTCGAGTAACAATCCTTGCAGTCTCTCGACTCACCAAGACAACTTGGTCAACTCTTGGCGATGTGCCTCACCATCGCGTTTGTTCAGTGATTTAGTCGCCTCACTTCAACCGCCGAGATGGACACTCAGGTCCTTAGAATAGGCATCTCGTGCCGACGACGGCTGCCCCCACACACTCGTCGCACGAAAGTGGCAGGTCAATTTGGCGGTTTTCCATGGTGGTTGACAGAAGCCAGAGCCGTTGTTGGCTGTCAGCGTGGGAAGACACACGAGAAACCTCAGGTTGTTGGTTGTCGGCCGTGGGAGATGGGGGCGGTTTCAGGGGCGGCGTCTCAAATGTAAGGTCACCAACGCAGTCGTTATCTGGACGGCAATATGAATAAGCTTCTTCTCTTCACATGGGCGACATTCCTTTTTAGAGGGGAAAAGACCCTATATTGCTGCCCTGAAATGCAACTATGATTCGGACCCCAAGAGAGAGTCCGAGGCTCGTCACAAGGGACGGGATGCAGTCAACCAACAACGCCGCAACTCACCCTCGCTGCAAGTGAAATAAATTCATTGCCTACAAGTATCAATTTCGCTCCCTCGCAAACGGAGAAGCGCGCAGCCATGCAAAATACACAGCAGCACAGGCGAAGAGCAATCCCCACCGGTCCATTTCGGGCTAGTTGCAGCCTCCAACCCCTGTCCGCAGAGCTTAAATTAAATAAAAACATGACACCGAGACCCCAGCAGCCTTCGCAGCAGCAAGCAATTCAGCGGCAAGCCGGGTCTCTCGGCGCGCGCGCGCTATTGTTGGTCGTTTGAAGTCCGGGGTCCTGGCAACCTGGGTGTTGCGGCACAGGCTCTGGCCTAGCACCAGCTCATCAATACGATGCAATCGCGGGGCCCGGTCAAACAAACTTTCTTTGGTTGATGAACGGGGAAACTGTGTGTCCCCTTTTCCCCCTGCCTGTGCGATCGCAGCACTGAGTCTGTCTCTGGCAGTGTGTCTTGTGCTTGTGTGCAATGTCTCGTTCGCCTGCCGGAACTCACTCACTCACCACCCAAAGCTCCGGGCAACTTTCTTTTCTCCAAGTACAACCATACCTTTCTTCTTACCTTGCCCTCGGATCTCACTCAGATCGTCGCCAGGGCTGAACTGGACCGTCGCTCCGCTGTCAACCCCGTCTTGACTTCCCTTCCTCGTCCGAACACCTCCCGTCTCTAGAGTTGCCTTCCTCTAAAGTCGCATTCGAACCGTCAGTGACATCCACCACCACCGCTGGGTCTGAGTCGCACATGGCATCCCCTTGTACGACTTCAGTCGACGATCAGGACGAAACTGACATTGGACATACCCAGGCTGACGCAGCAGACTCCCAAAGAAGACGGCGGATGTCTCGTTACCATCGTTGCCTGATTGATTGATTGATGACTCTTGAACGGCAGTGTCAGCTCGCCTACAGACCACTCGCCGAAACGGGATACTTGCTGCATCGTGGACTGGTTCCTCCAACGACGACTTGCAGCTTGCCGAGCTGGTCTACCTTTAAAGAAGGC